GAAAATTATAATAAAACTAAACTAAAGAACTAAAAATTAAACTCTAAAAATATTAAAAATGCCTAAAAAAGAATAAAAAGAACCAAACCAAACCCGACTTATCACATGGTTTTTACTAAACGACAAAAAACGGAGAGTGGTTTTTGAGGCGTTTTTGTTGGAGAGCTAATTAAATATGCCCAGAGGTAAAAACCAGTCATAAAAAGTTGAAAACCACTTGGTTGGTTCGAACGCCAAAAACCAATGCCGAAAACCGAAAGCCGAATGCCGGTTTCTGAAAGCCGAACGCCGGATGGCTTGGTTTTTGGCTTGGGCGAACTCCAAGTGTTTTGACCCAAGTTTAAACTTAAGAAAAATATTTTTGAACATGTAAAAGAGATTTTTATGAATTGAGCCTAGAGAGCCAAGATTTGGATTTTTGTGCCGGTCTTGATCACATTAAGACCGACTCAATACGATTTTAGTTCTTCGTTCTTGATTCTGGGTTCTTGGTTCTCAAGTCATCATGCCATGTTCCTTCGCCTTAGTTTTGCTCACTTTAGCTTCGATATGTCGCGGCGGTTTGGCATTATCAAAACCTGTCATAAAAACCGAACACAGTTTAGTACGACGTAAGGCGTAAACCCGTGTTCAAAAATAAACTACGTACGCTCAAGAACAACTCAAACTTCACACGGATTTGCTCTAGAAAGCTATGAAAAATGATATTGTTTGAATGCAATGATAGTATGAGAGATGTGAAGTGAATTGGTGTGTAAAGCAGACCCAAACACCCCTTTTTATAGTACCAAAATAGGCTCCAACAGACCATGGCATTAAAGGGGTGATTGGCTTGATTTATGGGATTGATTAAAAAGTGAATCTGCAGGATATTGGCTTTCCCAGCGATGTTTGGACTTACCCATCGCTGGTAAGCCAATTTTCCTTCAGTTTTGAAGCCAACGGTCACCTATCCATCGATGTGTACATGCTTCCCATCGCTGGGTGGGAGGTTGACTTCCAAACAAGTCCCCATCGCTGGGTAAGGTCATTCTGCCTTGTGATAATGTTGGACCAAGGCCTTAACATCGATGGGTAGAACTTCCCATCGCTGTTTGGCATGGTTCTGGAACTTGGTTGGGCTAAAGGTTCGCTTATCCATCGATGGGTACTTCTTCCCATCGTTGTTTGGCATGGTTCTGGAACTCGGTTGGGCTAAAGGTCCGCTTATCCATCGATGGGTACTTCTTCCCATCGCTGGGTGGATGGTTAGTCAAAAACCCATGGTTTTTGCCTGAACCATGGCCTAGCCAACCGATGCAAAAACGACTGAAAATCCAAAGTTCTCCAAAATAAAAACCAAGTGTTTAAAACACTTATTTGATGTATTTTGATAAGAAATCAAGTGAGACACTTTAAAAACCATGTCATTTGAGTAAAAACCACGGCGAGCCAAGTTTATGCTGTTGTGCGTGGTTTTTGCCAAACGACCAAAAACGAAAGGTGGGTTTCAAAGGGTTTTTGTTGGAGAACTGTTTAAACACGCCAAGAAGTAAAAACCAATCATAAAATGTTGAAAACCACTTGGTTGGTTCGGACGCCAAAAACCAACGTCGATAACCGAATGCCGAATGCCGGTTTCTGAAAGCCGAAAGCCGGTTTCTGAAAGTCGAACGCGGGATGGCTTGGGTTTTGGTTTGGTCGAACACTAAGTGTTTTTAATGTATTAAACATGTTTAAAAAGCAACTTTATGATGTGTGAAATTCAATGAAAGGAATTTTAGCCTACAGAGCCAAGGTGTAAAGGTTGGGTTGGTCTTGATCACAATTTTGACCGACTCAGCGACACAAAGACTATGGTCTTCGTTCTTGGTCTTCTTTTGGATCTTGTTCTTATCTTCGTTCTTTGCCTTGTATATTCAATGTTTTGTCTTGTTCACGGAGGTTTGGCATTATCAAAACCTGTCATAAAAACGAACACGGCTTTAGTACGAAAATGTGAAAAACCCGTGTTTCAAAAATTTTGCCCTTTTTGATAATGACAAACAAGACGTGGTTATGCATAGGAGGATTGTTTTGAGATTTAAAAAATGTTCCCCCTTTGAAATGCAATTTTATTTTTAACAAAGTATTTGTGTTGAATAAGAGTTAAAAAAAATGTTCCCCCTCAATCTATGCATAACCCTTATATCTTTCCCCTTTTAACATTAACAAAAAGAATTAAAAGTAAACTTTTATTCATTAAAAGGGAAATGCAGAATACAACAGAATAGAAATTAAAAAAAATACAATCATATTAAAAGAAAAGAAAAGAGAGTCTAGGAGTCGGCGTCCTCGTCTTCGTCGTCATCCTCGTCGTCCTCGACGTCCATGGGATCGCCGTCGACCGCATCTTTAAAGTCGGCCTTGCCAGGAGAGGAGGACGGAGCATAGGAGTCATTGTCCTCATCCTCGCCTTCAAAGTTTTGGCCGAGGATGGTGCTATCAAAGGGCGGCAAGACGTAGTTGATGCCGCGGAAGAACGCTGTCATGTCGTGGTGTTGACGTTGCAGCGTCCAGTCCATCCGCTCCATGTACTGCCCCATGTCGTCTACCATGAGGGTTAGCCGATTCAGGGTGTCGGCTATGGACTGCAACGAGGCCCCGACGGGAGCGGGGGTAGGGGCAGGGGCACGGGCACGACTCGGTCCGGCGCCGTCTCGGGTTCCGGACTTCTTCTTGAAGGTGTTGTCGGCGATGACCCAGAGCTTCGTCATCTTCGTACTTGGCCCGGCGATGTGGATGTCGGCGGGGATGATGAGGTCCACAACGAGGAAGGCATACGGTAAGCTCCTCTCGTTGGCGAGGGAAGCGCAATTCGTCATGTGAATCATGACGAATTTCGCCCAATTGATGGAGGTTCCGTGCATGATGGCGTGAATAGCCTTCAAGTCCTCGTTGAAGAATGAGGTGTGGCTACCATCCCGGGGGCGGAGGATCCGGGTGAGGATGTAGAGAAGAAGCCGCTTCTCCGGCGGGGCCGAGTGTATCGTCGGTGCGCCGCTGTGGTAGATCAAGTTGGTGATCCCAAGCTTGCGAATGACGACCGCCTCGTTGTTGAGGATCTAATCGTCGCCACCGTACATCGCGATGTCGTCGCCTCGGATGGGCAGCCCTGTGATCCGTGCAAAGGTCGGCAAGTCAATCTCTATGTTGTAGAGATTGATGCTGCTGTAGATGGTGTCCCCGTCACAGCGGAGATTTGAGTAGAAGGCCCGGACAAAGGCGAATTGTAGGAGGTGCGGCTCTTAGAGACGAAGAGCCACAAACCCGACTCTTTGAGTTGATTGTCGAGGTCGTGGTACCCTTTTTGTTGGGGAAACAACTCTGGCAGCACCCTGGGAGGAGAGATGGGGTGTTTGGCGAAGTGGGTGATGAAGCGAGTGAGTTCTTCCTCCGAGCCAAACTCGAGAAAGGATCCGTCAAGGTACGGAAAGGGCTGAGGCACTGAAGACGTGGCTTCGACATTTCTCTTCTTCTTGGAAGCCTTGTCTTGGACTTTCCTCCGGCCATGATTGAAGCGTTTTTGAAGAAAGAGAATGAATTTGGATGAATAGGCTTAGGAGATTCAAATTTGGATGTTAATTGTGATTAGGAATGACCAAGAATACTGAATATATATAAGGAGAGATGAAATTTCCATTTGAATTTGAAAAATATGGCTGTTGGGCATTTTATTGGGTGCCCAACGGCTCTGAAATTTTGAACTGCATGACCTTCCCAGCGATGGGTAGAACTTCCCATCGATGGGAAGGTCTCCACTGGAAAGCAAGGAGAAATTCAAGGCTGCCTTCCCAGCAACGTTTGGATTCTCCCATCGATGGGAAGGGGGTTACTGGAAAGTGACCAAGTAAAGAAGTTGGCCTTCCCAGCGATGTTAATACCATCCCATCGCTGGGTTGGTAGTTTTGGAAATCCGTTAAAAAATATTTAAAAATAGTGTCAAACACCCAGCGATGAGAGAAAGTTCCCATCGATGGGTAGGATGATTCTGGAAAAAGATTTTAAACTAAAGTCATACATCCAGCGATGGTACAAAGTTACCATCGATAGGTAGTGGACTTCTAGAAATCCGTGAAAAAGTTTTAAAAAATAGACTAAATCACCCAACGATGGGAGAAGGTTCCCATCAATGGGAAGAGGAGTTCTGGAAGAAAGGAAACTTCCCTCCCAGCGATGGTATGAACCCACCCATCGCTGGGTTCCCCCTGACTTCCGAATTCCTTCACCTCGAACCGTCCCTGCAAAAAAGAGTTTGAAAACCCCCCGACGCTCAAGTTAGTAAACGTTCAAACAAAGATAAAGGAGTAATAAAATGTACAAATTAGATCATCATGGAGTCAAGAATTCCGAGTTCACTACGAATGCAGAAGAGCGACTCTTTCTCTAAAGGTTTTGTGAAAATGTCGGCTAATTGGTTGTGTGTTTCAACAAACTCAATTTCGACATCACCTTTGAGAACATGATCTCTAATGAAGTGGTGCCTAATGTCAATGTGTTTCATCCTTGAGTGAAGAACGGGGTTCTTCGTCAAGCTTATGGCACTACTATTATCACAACAGAGTGGAACATGATTGATACTAAGGCCATAGTCCACGAGTTGTTGCTTCATCCAAAGGATTTGAGCACAACAACTACCGGCGGCAACGTATTCCGCTTCGGTTGTGGATAACGCAACACTGACTTGTTTCTTACTAAACCATGAGACTAGAGAGCTACCAAGTAAGTGGCAAGTCCCACTCGTACTTTTACGGTCCAATTTGCAACCGGAAAAGTCCGAGTCGGAATAACCAACGAGATTACATGAAGAGCCTTTTGGATACCACAGTCCAACGTTAACCGTGCCCACAAGGTATTTCATGATCCGTTTCACCGCCGTTAAGTGCGATTCCTTCGGACACGATTGATACCTTGCGCAAAGGCATACACTAAACATGATATCCGACCTACTAGCAGTAAGATAGAGAAGGGATCCAATCATACCTCGATACTTTTTGACTTCTACTTCCTTACCTTTCTCGTCTTTGTCAAGATGGTCAGACGTGCTCATCGGGGTCGCCATGGCTTTGGCGTTGTCCATTTCGAACCGTTTTAAGAGTTCTTTGCAATACTTAGTTTAGCGAATGAATGTGCCATCTCTCATTTGCTTCACTTGAAGTCCCAAAAAGAACGTGAGCTCGCCCATCATTGACATTTCAAATTCACTTGTCATTAACTTGGAGAATTCCTTGCACAAAGACTCGTTAGTAGCACTGAATATAATATCGTCTACATAAACTTGAACCAAAAGGATGTTGTTGTTTTTACTCTTGATAAAAACTGTAGTATCGACCTTTCCCCTTTGGAAACCACTATCCAAAAGAAATTTACTCAAACGTTCGTACTAAGCACGGGGTGCTTGTTTAAGACCGTAGAGTGCTTTCTTGAGTTTGAAGACATGGTCGGGATACTCAAAGTCTTCAAACCCCGGGGGCTAGTCAACATACACTTGCTCTTGAATAAACCCATTGAGGAAGGCACTCTTAAAATCCATTTGATAAAGTTTAAAATCCATAGATGAGGCAAAAGCAAGAAGTAAACGTATAGCTTCTAAACGTGCTACAGGTGCATAAGTTTCTTCAAAATCAATGCCTTCTTCTTGATTGTAGCCTTTAGCTACGAGCCTAGCTTTGTTTCCAGTGATTATTCCATTTTCATCAAGTTTGTTACGGAACACCCATTTCGTACCAATAATCGTACGACCATCGGGCCTTGGCACCAATTCCCAAACGTCATTCCGTTTGAATTGGTTTAACTCCTCTTGCATAGCCAAGGTCCAATGTTCATCGTTTATTGCTTCGGAAATGGTTGTAGGTTCAATTTGAGAAACAAAAGCCATGTGTCCTACGGTGTCCCTAAGTGAGTTTTGAGTACATACCCCGCGGTTGATGCTACTGATTACCTGATCAAGCAGGTGGTTCTTGTTTGTTCTCCATGCTACGGGAAGCTCAGTTGCTTCTTCTTCGTGTTCCTCTTGATTTTTTTCTTCACCTTGGTTAGTCGCTTGAGGCGTCTCCCCAATTTGCGGCTGCGTGTTAGTGTATATTTCTGTGTTCTCTTCATCGTCTTCGACGTGTATTCTTTCTAGTGAATCTGCAAGATCATCACAAATATCCTTTCTCGCCAAGCGAGGATTATCTTCGGAAAATACAACATGAGGGGACTCCTCAATAGTCAAGGTACATTTATTAAAGACTCTACAGGCCTTGCTACGTAATGAGTAACCTAGAAAAATCCCTTCGTCCGACTTGGCATCAAATTTGCCTAAGTTATATTTGCCGTTATTATGAATAAAACATTTGCAACCAAAGACTCGAAGATGGGAAAGGTTTGGCTTTCTCCCTTTGTATAGTTCATAAGGCGTTTTTATGAGTATCGGTCGAATCACGGCTCGGTTTAATACGTAGCTCGCGGTACTCACGGCATCCGCCCAAAAATACTTAGAGATTTTTGCCTCATTGATCATAGTTCTAGCCATCTCTTCGAGACATCTATTTTTACGTTCCACCACTCCATTTTGTTGTGGTGTACGTGGGGTTTAGAAATTATGATCAATGCCGAGTTCGTCACACAGATCTGAAAATAGATTTTGTTCGAACTCTCCCCCATGGTCGCTTCTTATGGCTACTATGGTTGTTTCTTTTTCATTTTGAACTTTTTTTAGAAATTTTTGAAAACATGAAATGCCTCACTTTTATGAGTAAGAAATAGGGTCCATGTGAACCTAGAGTAGTCATCAACAATTACAAAAGCAAAGTAATTACCACCAAAACTTTTCGTTCTAGAAGGACCAAAGAGATCCATGTGCAAAAGTTGAAGCGTTCTAGACGTTGAAACAATGTTCTTAGACTTAAACGAAGCCTGAACTTGCTTCCCCTTTTGGCATGCATCACATATGGTGTCTTTTTCAAACTTAAGTTTTGGAATGTCAATTACCAAGTCTTGTGAAACCAATTTGTTCAAAAGGTTCATGTTCATATGAGCTACCCTTCGGTGCCATAACCAAGTGTCTTCCTCTTTACTCATGAGGCACTTAGCAAAGCCGGAAGGAGATTTGTCTAGGTTAACTATATATATGTTATCGATTCTATCACCACGTAGAATGACCTTATTGTCACTAAGGCGTTCTACCGTTCATGATTTTGAATCGAAGGTCACACGGTTTCCCTTGTCACATAATTGACTTATGCTCAAGAGATTGTGTTTAAGACTCTTAACTAGCAAGACATTATCTATAGAGGAGTTTTTAGATTTACCTACCGAACCAATGCCGATGATCTTTCTCTTGCTATTATCTCAAAAAACTACGTTTCCTCCTTTAGCGGGTTTAATTTGTAGGAACTTGGATGCATCTCCGGTCATGTGCTTGGAGCATCCGCTATCAAGGTACCAAAGTACACTTGACGCCTTCAAGCACACCTACAAAAATGATTTAATAAGATTTAGGTACCCAAGTCTTTTTGGGTCCTTGAGTGTTAGGTACAAAGTGGTAGTGTGATTCGTTTTGAGACCAATGACTATGCCTAGTAAAGCAAACGGGATATTATGTCCTACCCTATTGCAATAATGATAAACTACGTTTGGGTTGTGCATTGGTTTTTGAAAATTCTTCGTTCTAGGTGTCCTATCATTATTTTGTCTATTTGAAAAATTATTTTTATGCACAAATTCATTTTGATAATTTTTCCTAGGTTGTCCAACATGCACATTTTCATTTCTATGTTTTTGTCTAGGTTGTCTAGTGTCCTTAGGTTGACTAGATTTTCTATTATCCTGATTTTTAACTTTCTTACGTTGAGCCTTAGGAGGTTGTCTAGGTGTTTGCTCAACGTTTTTATCCTTAGATTCGTTTTTATCAAAACCAAATCCTTCCATAGAAAAATGCATAGTGTCAAGGAGTAAGTTAAGATCTTTGTGTGGAGTATTGAATTTCTTAACCATACTCTCAAGTTTTGTAACTTTTTCTTTTAAAGCTTTGCAAGATTCACATTCATTTGAAGAGCTTTCCGGTTTGTCAGCGCTTCTTTTGCCATAAAATTTATTTTCTTGTTTTAACTTTTCATTATCTTTTTCTAGTTTTTCAAAGTCATTTTCAAGAGTTGAAAGACGTTTCTTTAATGATTTGTTAGTTTTAGAAGCGCTAACAAATTGATCGTAAAGCTCACGAAGTGCTTCTTGCATCTCTTCAAAAGTGTAAGAGTCGGAAGAAGTGGTACATACCTCTTGTATATCGTCGGGTTGGTCTTCGTGTGCCATGAGACAGAGGTTGGCGGCTTCATCCTCCTCTTGGTTGGTTGACTCGTCGCCGGAGTCGCCACCCCACGAGATATACGCTCTTTGCTTTTTGAAGCCGGGTTTGTCCTTGACATTTTTGCCTCTTGGACACCTCGGCTTGATGTGGCCTATCTCGCCACATCCATAGCACTTTGGTGGACCGTCAACTTGTGGAATTTCTTGATGACGAGTCCAAACTCGTTGTCATCATCACTTGAGACTTCTTCCACCGTTTCCTTGGTCGCTTTGAGTGCTATACCTTTCTTCTTTTGTTCATCCAAAGACGGGGTTAAAATAGTGGATTCATAGGTTTTGAGGTTACCTCTTAACCCTTCGATGGTGACGTTGGATACTCCGATGGATTCGTAGATTGCGTCGGCCTTTGATCTCCATTCGGGTGTGAGACTCCGCAGGATTTTTCTCACGAGATCCTTGTTGGCGTAAGTCTTCTTGAGAGCATGAAGGTCGTTGATGATCTTTGAGAACCGATCAAACATGTCATCGATCTTTTCGCCTTCCTTCATCCTAAACATCTCAGACTCCTGCGTGAGGAAGTCAATTTTGGCTTCCCGAACTTGGTCTGTACCTTCGTATGTGACCTCCAGCTTGTCCCACATTTCTTTGGCGGTTGTGCAGCAAGAGATCTTGCGATAATCATCGGGGTTGACTGCGCAGTAAATCATATTGATTGCCTTAGAGTAGTTCTCTACCTTTTTGATGTCTTCGGCATCAAATTCGTCCTCGGTCTTTGGGACGAGTTCTTCACCAACCTTTTTCATTGGCTTTTCTTTGCCATTCTTGATGGCCAACCACAACTGGAAGTTGGTTGAGCGGATATAAATTCTCATCCGCTCTTTCCAATATGTGTAGTTGGTGCCATCGAAGAGTGGTGGCCTAGAGGTTGATTGACCTTCTCCAATCCCTGCATAAAGATTTCTAGAAGAAGAACCCATGATCGCTTTTCTCTCAAACGGTTAAGTTTGGACGCGAGTTAGGCTCTGATACCAATTGTTAGAATAAAAGACCAACACTAGAGGGGGGGTGAATAGCGTGTGATCGTAGAAATCGCAGGAATTAAAAATTTAAAGGAGAAGTAAAGATAAGAGTAAGAGGCACACCAAATTTACCCTGGTTCACCACAACTTGTGGCTAATCCAGCCTCCCGAGAGACTCTCTCGAGCTACACTACTATCTCGTTAAGCTTAACGGTGCTTAACAAACCCTTACAACTTGAGAATTCGAGTCACACGAACCTCAACGAATCCTTCGAAGGAAACAACCCTTCCTTCGAATCAAACGAGAGAAATGCTTTATCTCAACGTGTCTTAGAACACTAATACACTCAAGAACGAGACTCTCTTTAAGAGTAGATATTGAGTAAACTACGTACGCTCAAGAACAACTCAAACTTCACACGGATTGGCTCTAGAAAGCTATGAAAAATGATATTGTTTGAATGCAATGATAGTATGAGAGATGTGAAGTGAATTGGTGTGTAAAGCAGACCCAAACACCCATTTTTATAGTGCCAAAATAGGCTCCAATGGACCTTGGCATTAAAGGGGTGATTGGCTTGATTTATGGGATTGATTAAAAAGTGGATCTGCAGGATATTGGCTTTCTCAGCGATGTTTGGACTTACCCATCGATGTTAAGCCAATGTTCCTTCAGTTTTGAAGCCAACGGTCACCTATCCATCGATGGGTACATGCTTCCCATCGCTGGGTGGGAGGTTGATTTCCAAACAAGGAAAGAATCAACCTTAAATGACTTGCAACGGTCATGCCTAACCAGCGATGGGTATCCCTTCCCATTGCTCGGTTCCCATCGATGGGTAAAAGTCCCCATCGCTAGGGAAGGTCATTCCGCCTTGTGATAATGTTGGACCAAGGCCTTAACATCGATGGATAGAACTTCCCATCGCTGTTTTGCATGGTTTTGGAACTCTGTTGGGCTAAATTAAAGGTTCGCTTATCCATCGATGGGTACTTCTTCCCATCGCTGTTTAGCATGGTTCTGGAACTCGATTGGGCTAAAGGTTCGCTTATCCATCGATGGGTACTTCTTCCAATCGCTGGGTGGATGGTTAGTCAAAAACCCATGGTTTTTGCCTGAACCATGGCCTAGCCAACCGATGCAAAAACGACCGAAAAATCCAAAGTTCTCCAAAATAAAAACCAAGTGTTTAAAACACTTATTTGATGTATTTTGATTAGAAATCAAGTGAGACACTTTAAAAACCAAGTCATTTGAGTAAAAACCATGGCGAGCCAAGTTTATACCGTTGTGCGTGGTTTTTGCCAAACGACCAAAAACGAAAGGTGGGTTTCAAAGTGTTTTTGTTGGAGAACTGTTTAAACATGCCAAGAAGTAAAAACCAATCATAAAATGTTGAAAACCACTTGGTTGGTTCGGACGCCAAAAACCAACACCGATAACCGAATGCCGATTTCTGAAAGCCGAAAGCCGGCTTTTGAAAGTCGAACATCGGATGGCTTGGTTTTTGGTTTGGCCGAACACCAAGTGTTTTTAATGTATTAAAAATGTTTGAAAAGCATTTTTATGATGTGTGAAATGCAATGAAAGAAAATTTAGCCTAAAGAGCCAAGGTGTAAAGGTTGGGTCGGTCTTGATCACAATTGTGACCGACTCAGCGACACGAAGACTACGGTCTTCGTTCTTGGTCTTCTTTTGGATCTTGTTCTTATCTTCGTTCTTCGCCTTGTATATTCAATGTTTTGTCTTGTTCACGGCGTTTTGGCATTATCAAAACCTGTTATAAAAACGAACACGACTTAAGTACGAAAACGTGATAAACCCATGTTTCAACAGCTCCTCCTCAAGGAATTAAGCTCCACTAACTTGTTTCGTTTCACCTAGAAGACTCAAATGAGATTTGGCAAACAACGATTGCCAATACGTGATGAGATTTTACAACGACCATCTCGATAGCTTAGAAATGGAGATTTAAAGGCTATCTTCAACCTTAAAACAAAATGAGGATTTATAGGCTATCCACACCTTTTACAAAATGAGAATATAAAATGTTTCTTCTCTACCAAAGAGTAAAAAATCAGGATTGGGTAGAAGAAGAACAAAATCGAAATCAACAACAACAAAGCCTATGAGCAAGATATAAAATAATGAGGCAGAAACATCCTTGTGTGTGAGTGATTAAAAGATATGAAAGCTTATCTCAAAAAGAGTAATGAAAATATTAAGAGCAAAGCCTTAAAAACACTCAAGAATAATGGAGAATGGCTCAGAATGATATTGGATGTTGTTGTGTTAAAAAAATGAGACTTAGAGAAGGTTTATATGATTAGGAATGGTAAAAGATGATTAGAATCCTTTTAGAGCCATTGAAAGTGATTTATAGTTAACAAAATTAAAAAATGGAAAGCAGGAACAGTGTTGTAACGAATCCAATATCTGTCACTGTAGGGAGGTACCGTTTGGTATAAAGGTACCATCCCATCGATAGGGTATACCGCTAGGGGTACGATCTCAATTCATTTTGCTCTGGCAGAACATGCGACAACTGGTATCCTAACCGATCCCTAGGTACCTAGCGGTAGCTTGGTACCGTCCCAACAGTATGGGGTACCGTTCCAAAACTGATTTTAATTCCTTTTTCAAAATAACCCCAACTAAGATAATATTTGAAAATGTTTAGAAAAACTGTTTTCAGTGTAAGGGGATTATGAAAAAATATATGAGGTTTAGCATTCAAGACCAACAATCTCTCCCTTTTTGATGTTAAAAAATAAGGCTTTCAAATATCATAAACAAACTGTTGAAACACGGGTTTATCACGTTTTCGTACTAAAGCCGCGTTCGTTGTTATGACAGGTTTTGATAATGCCAAACCGCCGTGAACGAGACAAGTCATTGAATATACAAGGCGAGAACCAAAGATGATAAGAAAGAGAACAAGAGCCAAACGAAGACCAAGAACGAAGACCTTAGACTTAGCATCGTTGAGTCGGTCTTTATTGTGATCAAGACCGACCCAATCTTTACACCTTGGCTCTTTAGGCTAAAATTCTTTTCAATGCATTTCACACATCATAAAAATGTTTTTCAAAGATTTATAAAACATTAAAAACACTTGGTGTTCGCCCAAACCAAAAACCAAGCCATCCGGCGTTCGGGTTTTAGAAACCGGCATTCGGCATTCGGTTTTCGGCGTTGGTTTTTGGGGTCCGAACTAACCAAATGGTTTTCAACTTTTTATGACTCGTTTCTACTTCTGGGCATATTTAAATAGTTTTTCATCAAAAACACTTCAAAAACCATGTGAAACGGCATTAACTTAGCTAGCCGTGGTTTTTACTTAAATGAAGTGGTTTTCGAGTCTTTTTGTGTGGGAATTGTTTACCACCTTTCGGTTTTGTCTTTTGGTGAAAACCACCCGTGTACGGTGTTGACTTGGTCAACCGTGGTTTTTACCTTAACGACGTGGTTTTCAACTTAAAAAGCTTGTTTTGACATCAAAATACATTAAATAAGTGTTTTATATACTTAGTTTTTACTTTGGAGAACTTTGCATTTTTCGGTCGGGTTTCAGCGCCGGTCAGCTAGGCCATGGTTCTGGGCTAGCCATTTATCCAGCGATGGTAGATTTCACCCATGCATGGGTAAGTGATCCCGGGATTCCAGAATCATGCCACCCAGCAATGGGAAGATCTTCCCATCGATGGGTAAGCAGTCCCTCAACGAAACTGTTTTCCAGAACCATGCCAAACAGCGATGGGAAGTTCTACCCATTGCTGTTAAAGCCTTGGTGCAACATTACCACAAGGCAGAATGCCCTTACCCAGCGATGGGAAGCTTTACCCATCGATGGGAACCCAGCGATGGGAAGGCTTAACCATCGATGGGAAGGCATGACCGTTGGAAGTCATTTAAGGCTGATTCTTTCCTTGTTTGGAAGTCAACTTCCCACCCAGCGATGGGAAGCTTGTACCCATCGATGGGTAGGTGACCGTTGGCTTCAAAACTGAAGGGAAATTGGCTTACCAGCGATGGGTGAGTCCAAACATCGATGGGAAGCCAATATCCTGCAGATCCCAAATTTATTCAATCCCATAAATCAAGCCAATCACCCCTTTAATGTATTGGTCCGTTGGAGCCTACTTTGGAACTATAAAAAGGGGTGTTTGGGTCTGCTTTTCTCATCAATTCACTTCACTTTATTCATATTATCATTGCTTCCAAACAACATTATTTTCCATAGCTTTCTAAAGCCAATTTGTGAAGTTTGAGTTGTTCTTGAGCGTATATAGTTTACTCAACATCTACTCTTAAAGAGAGTCTTGTTCTTGAGTGTTCTTAGTGTTGTAAAAACGTTTAGGGAAGCTTGTTTCCCTTGGTTGTACGAAGGAAAGGTATTTTCCTTTGGGTTGAAGTCTTGGAGTGCGGTATCTCCGAGCAAGTGTATTGAGGCTCGTGGGACTCGAGTTCTCAGGTTGTAACAGTTTGTTAAGCACCCGTAAGCTTAACGGAAGTAGTGTAGCTCGAGAGAGTCTCTCGGGAGGCTGGATTAGCCACAAGTTTTGGTGAACCAGGGTAAATCTTGGTGTGCTCCCTTTACTCCTTTTTATTCCGCTCTTTACTTTATCCCTGCGATTTTTATTCCGCAAAAATTTATAAACATTCTCGTGCCTCACTATTCACCCCCCCCCCTCTAGTGAAGGGCACTTATTCTAACACAAACCACAATCATAACTTGAAAGCATATTTAAACTACTCCCCCTAACTTTATGTACTTAGGTTTTTCATAAAAACTCTTCCTAGATATATGCATATAAAATCCTAAAACTTCTCTCCCTTTTGGAAACATTCAAAAAGGTGGGGAAAGAAGAGCAAAGTAAGTATATATAGGCATTCAATCAAAAGAGGAAATACTTAAGCAAAGTAATCCCATATCGCATAACAAAACATCAAGATTACATTTTCATAAGAACTCAAGCAATTAAAGCATAAATGTCATAGGAGTTTGATTAAAGTAAAAATAGAAATGTTTGATCATCTACCAAGGCTCAATCACA